CAATGCTCTGCTCCCTAACAGTGCTCTGACTACAGCCACTATGAATTGTGCAACCTGCCAGGTGCTAAATCTAACCCTGAGCAATGGTATCACAGCATTTGCCATGGTCCTCAGTCTGCACTCTGATAGCAAATGGTTATGTTTAACTGCTCTCATCATGGAAGTCACAGTGCTTTTTCTGTACTGGGATACACACTTATTTTGAGTATGGATTGTCTTTCCCTGAATGTAGTTCTTGTCCAAAAACTAACATCATTTGTCTTCCAGAATGCATCAGTCACCATCAGATTCTTCCACCTAAGAATGCTTCATAGCTAGGAATGATCTTAAATGCTGAGAAGGAATGGCAATGCATGATGCTCATGGAGTTCACTGGTCTTGACATTCCACAGCATCCAGATGCAGGTGGATTAAAGGGTCTTTTGAAGATGCAATCATAGTGCTGCAGTGCTGTAATACTTTGGCTAAGTTGCATGTAGTTCTATGTAAGGTTTTGATCGGTACTCTACATTTTGAACTACTCTCAAAGCCAGAACTCATGGGGCCAGTAATATATCAGTGAAAATGGGAAAGTTACTGCTACTGACTGTTATCCTGAAGGTTGCACTAGTGACATATTTACTTTCTCTTTCTGTGTCCTTCTAATCTGCTGAGTTAGAAGTCAGTTCTGTACTGAGAAAAGCTTCTGCTAGTGGAGCAACAGAAAGTGTATGGGTATGCAATCTGAGCATTTCCCCTTATCATTATGAGCCCCTCATTCACTGGAATCAACAAGATAGACAGGGAGTTATGGTTCTAATGGGTGATTGGCCAGACTGCAAAGGAGCTATTGGACCAGTGCTCCTCAGTGGAGGTGAAGAAGAGGAAGTTTGGGAAGCAGGAGATTCCTTCGGATACTGCTGCTATTACCATGGCTTGTTATTTATGTTAACTGGGAACTACAACAGTCCAATCCAGTATGAAGTATGAAAGGGAACTTGCCCAAACACCTAAGGAATGAACATAGGTTTTATCTGTCCATCTAAAGCAACCAGAGGACCTATAATACCTCCTAACATTATACTTGTATAATCTTTGTGGGTATTTTTTTATTCATACCCTCTACCATATAATAGTGCTTGACTTAATATCAGTGGCTAAATATCATTGTATCTATATTTAAAGTGCAGTCATTCCATGTGCAGTGGAAGCGTCACCCAAAGGGAACTCTGGCTCCTCATAGAGGGAAGGAGTTAATGCGCCCCCAGCTCCATGAAAAATAGCTTTGTTATATTAATGGAGTTATGAACTTGATATTGTCTATATTTGTAGATTAGATATGGTTAGCGAGACGTATCTGTTTGAGAAGTCAAGATGGGATATGCCCTGACTGTAAATCATCACAATTGAACGTGACTGGATGAAGCAATATTTAGCAGATTAGCCAAGCTCACTTCGGAACTGCCTGTCACATATTTGAGATATGATTGTTATGGAGGTAACCTGACTGGGGAGGACCAAAGGGGGCTGTGGGTGCATCTGCCAATAGGATTGCAGTTGAGGTAGAATAAAAGGGGGCAGAGAAAGGGGACCAGTTGCAGTGGGTTGATGCTTTGGGTTCCTCAGCTACTCCAGTCAGCCTCATCCCCGGGTCACTCAAGGTAGGTTGCAAACCTTTGATATCAGAGTGGAGTTCATTTATTAATCTCTCTTGTTCTCTGACTAAGAAATTCCTGTATACAGCTCTGGGAATTTCTGACATTTCTGCATACAGATAAAAACTGTGGACTCTGCTGGCTTAAAAATTGTAAGTTTAATGCATATATATATATATATATATATAATACATATATGTTTGTGATTATTATATAGTCTGTTGATTTTGCATTTCTAGAGGACCCTACCCAATACAGACATAATGACTTTATTTGACTATATTTATTGATTCCCAGATATAAAGCATGTAGAAATTAACATGATCATACTTTCTTAAAACTTTAGTCACAGAGGTATTTATGCTTGTTTTCCCAAAAGGCTCAAAATACAATAGCTTTATTATAAGCAGCATGAGCCAAAATTCTGTGATTTTCACACTTTTTCAGGAGTCTTCTGCTTTGGAAGTATTTCTTTTCTTCAGTCATTCATAGAATCATCATTATATAAATTTATTGCTTTTAGTAAGTAAATGATTTCATTTGGAAATGGATTATTTATGTAGCTATTTAATTATTCTATGTAAATCATAATTTAAAATGGCTTTACTCACTTTTTATCAATGTATATATTACCTCCCACTGTATATAAAGAATACATTAATAAAATATTTTACTTAATACATCAGAAAATATAATAAATTTCTACATCATCATAAAGACGTTTTAAACAAATTATAACAGATGAAAATATTGGATATTGAAATATTTGTTGCCTTATGTGAGGGTGCAAGGTTTTAAAAAATATATGTCCTACTTCTCATTATGAATTCTTTATTGTATGTAAAAATACAGCAGCAGAGGAGCCAGAGTTAGTAGTGCACACACTGTATGACTGTGCAGACTGTTAAGATAGTAGAACACTCTCCAGTAGAGGTCATTGCAGAGTTTACCCAGACATCCTAAAGGCCAACATTCCTCCAGACTGCTCCAACTCCTACCCTGAGACTTTATTTGTGCTCAAAGTTGAGTTAATATGTAATTAATAGCTGTAAGTTTGGGGCCTTCACAAGCCCTGATCTACCTTGGATCAATGGACAAATGGGTGGATGAATAGGGAGTTTGATGGATGGAAGACCAGTTGGCAAGTCAAATGATCCAGGAGTAGAAGAACATGCACACACACAGATATACAGGACATAGGGTAAATAGGAAAGACAGGCAGATAGAAAGACAGGCATAGATGGATGGATGAGAGATGGATAAATTGACTAATGGATCGACATTACAAAACAGTAACGCTAAGGAAATCCCCAAGTGCTTTCTCTGTGGTGTTCTTATTTAGAAAGCAAATGCCCTCAAGGCTCCGAACAGATGAAGAACTTGTGTACTGGAGTCACAGAAATTGATGATCTGCAAACTTTTACTGAAAAACAAGCATTGGACATGAGAGTTTGGCATGAAAATTATGTCTTAATATGCCTGAAATTAATTGAATAATAGGATAAAATAATGTCCTTATGTTTTACTTTTCTTGAAAACAGTGACATAAAAGTGCAGCTTTGAGGCCCACTCAAATATGTTGTTTACATTTTCTGGCTGATTTTACTGGAAAGAAAAGATATTACTTTCATACTTTCTATAAAAAATTATTTAATATTAAACATTTGGGATTTAAAAACATAAATACTATGCATGTAATCATTTGCAGATTAAATTTTATTAAACATGATTCATTGCTCAGATGATTTGAAAGATTCTTAGGGTACATTTATTTGGAATATTTTTAACATTTTAATTTCTTTCATCTTTTAACAGAAACTAGTGTATTTCACCACACAGACATTTCAATTTCATCATTTTTAAAATTTTATTTATTTATTTATTTTTGTTTTTTTGAGACGAGGTCTCACCATGTAGTTGAGACTGACCTGGAGCTCACTATGTAGCCCAGGCTGGTCTCAAACTAACAGTGATCCTCCTGCCTCAGCCTCCCAAGTGCTGGGATTACAGGCATGCACCACCACACCTGGCCTTGATGATGTTTTTATATGTGTTGAGTCTTATGTGAATGAGAAACCACTTCCAATCTTAATGATAAGAAGTTAAAATATAAATAGTGCATAAGCTTTTTCCATAATTAGGGCTAAACTCAAATATGGAGCCCTTTAATCTTAAGAAATAGAACTATAATAAAGGAGACAAATTTGCTAATGGTTTCTCATATGCTTAAAATAGTAGGGGAACTTTAAAAATCATTCCTCCAATTTATTAAGCAACTTGACAGAAGTTAGTCACTAGACCTTAGTTTATTTGTAATTTCCCAAATTAAAACTGGTAAATAAATGAATTTTTCAAAGAAAGAAAAAGTAAGCCAATCTTAGTGAATTTCTTTATTTTTTAATAAGTATGCAATTTGATAAAGAGAAACAGTATATTTAAGTACTAAAGTAAATGGTGGCAGGTGGAGTAGAAAATGTATGACAACTATGACTCTTTGTATAAAATGTGTGTTTGCTTGCTTTCTTGCTTTCTTTCTTTCTTTCTTTCTTTCTTTTTTTCTTTCCTTCTTTCTTTCTTTTCTTTCTTTCTTTCTTTGCACCCGGGATTGAACTTGGGTCCTTGCACTTGCAAGGCAGGCCTGCGAAAAACTGAGCTAAATCTCCAGCCCTGTTTGCATTGTTTAGACATTGCATGTCCCACTCACAGGAGACATGGAGGGAAAAGAAGCAAGGAAGCACAGGATAAATATCACTGAGGAATTTTCTTCTTTGCAGTTCAATAAATCAGTTGTCCTCCAGTGAACACACACATGCCAGGTCTTCATAGGTCACTCTTATCTTCCCTTTCTACAGAAACTGCAATATCTTTTCATTTTAAGATGAGTTGTCAGTGTCCGTTCTTATGTAGTATTTTCTTAGTCTTCTTAAACTTTTTGGAGAAATGTGGAATGTCACACCAATTTAAATTTTCTCTAACCAGATTTACATTCTTAATAATTCAGAGTTTCTTTATCCATTATACTTTTTGAATTCTGACCAAGTTTTAGATGAATCACCACACTTAATATGTATCCTTCAACAAGAATCACTGCTGAAGCTAAGGAAAGTAGAAGATTGTTTTTCAGAAATGTTAGCTATCTTAAAATTTTAGTCACATTACTGCTAAAGAAGGTATATGGTACTAACAACTATGTACTTACAAATTCGATAGAAAGAGATTATTTAAAATTTTCTTCATCATAGATCTACTTCACAGACACTAACAATATAAATCACAAGGTCCTGAAGAATTATGGATGTAAACATTAGACAAATTCTTTACCAACTGGATGATTACTAATTACACACACTTCATATAAGAATCTCTAAGTGGTACATGGACCTTGTGAGTAGACAGAAGAAGAAATTTTTCACTTTTTCCCAGAGAAATAGGTCTGAGGGGGCAAACTGAGTACAAGCTAATTGCAGGTTATCCTATATCCTTGACAATGGTAGATCTTATTGGCTCAAATATAGTTTTACTACATTCTTGACTAGGTATTCAGTGAGTATGTGCATTTATGTGTGTGTGTTGGTCCTGAAAGAGTGCTATGTTCTATCTATCTTTAAAATAAAACTCATTGTGGTCCATAGCAGTATTTGTACATCTTAGACATGGGTGTACATGAACATACTTTAAAAATTGTATTTTTCTGACCTTTGCACATACCTGTGTCATTTTTTTTTGTACCAGGGATTGAGCTCCGAACCTTGTGCTTGTGAAATAGGCAACAGCACCACTGAGCTAAATCCCTGGCCCTGTGCCTGCTTCTTCTTTTAGAAGCTAGACTCTCAACATTTAACTTGGCTATGGAATAATTAATTTTATACTTTTCTATGGAATTGCTCCAAGATTTTTTCTTCATCTGTAGGATGTGGACAATAAGAGCAATTCTGTATATATTAAAGGGAAAAGAAAGTGATGAAAATACTTGTTATGATTCAAGGAGATGAAAACAACACTGAGATTCCACCTCACCCCAGAAAGAATGGTTGCTATAAAGAAATCACACAATAACAAATTCTGGCATAGTTATCGGGAGAAATAAACCCTTCTGCACTGTTGGTGGGAGTGCAGACTAGTGCAACCACTATGGAAATCAATATGGGGATACCTCGAAGAGCTGGGACTAGAGGTTCCTTTTGACCCAGCCATCCCTCTATTGGGTATCTTTCCAAAAGAATTAAAAGAACATCACAATGATATATGTGCACCTATGTTTATAGCAGCTCAGTTTGTAATAGCTAAAACTTGGAAACAGGCCATTCCCTCATCATTTGGAGACTGGATAAAGAAGATGTGTTTTTTCTATAAAATGGAATACTACTCAGCCATAAAGAATGAGAATTTAGATTCATTCATAAGAAAATGGGTACATATTGAGGATATACTACTAAGTGAAATTTAAAAGTCACACATGTGTAAATACTGAATAGATTCTCTGGTGTGAATAAACTATAATAGTACATAAAATCCTAATGATATAATGGACAACGTGAAATAGGAAGAAAAGGGCTAAAGGTACAGGGAAAATGGAAAGGATAGGGGAAAGGTAATAAGGGAAAGGAAAAATATGAGAAAATGAAAAAATGGAAATAAAATGTTTGTAAATTGGGAGGGGAGGAGGGGGTGAAGGCAGGGCAGAGACAAGGGGAAAAAATGAGAACCAAGACCACCTGTCATGTAAAGGTACAAGATCCCAATGATAAATGTAACTGTACTGTATACCTAAAATGTACCAATAAACTCAATGAGGGAAAAAAAGCAAGGTACTACACAAATATTTCATTTTAAAAATGAGAAAAAAAGTATAAATGTAACTGAAATATAGAAATTCAATCATTATCCTATATTAGATATTTATTTCCTACACTTAATTTTTATTTTATGTTTCATGGTGTTTAGTGCACATGTTTTGAAATTTAAGTTATCTCACTTGTAAAGGAAAAATTTCATAATGATAGCAAGTATTTATTTCAAGAAATGCAATGCCATTCATTTAATATACTACAGAGAAATTACAGTAAAACTTAAAGTAAATGACTTTAAAACTTTGAAGATCCTCCAATACTTGTCTCCAAGCTCACATTCATCATCTCTCTAATTTCCTTTTGTGCAAATGCATAAAAGTCCTTCATTTCTGGCAAATATATCTTCCTGAATATGAGTAAGAAATAAAAGAAAGTTGTTGTATGGAGTTATGGGGTAATCTTGATGGTAGAAAAAGAGGGCAAGAAAAGCAAGTAGAGTTTCTCATTAAATGTGTTCATGAAAAATTTCAGTGTTCAGAAACTGACCTCCTACCTTGCACTTGATGCAGCTGGTCCTTCTCTGGTGAAGTGAGCTTCCCGTCTTCTGCATCATCATGGACATCAAAGGGAAAGGTATGTACAGCAACTCAGGGAGTTGTTGGCTTCATTGACACTCTTATGTGAGTTACTAGTAAATAAATTCAGCTAATATCAAGAGGTTTCAGACTTATAGGTATAGAAGAAGTATCATTATCTGTGAAGGAAGTGCACAGGGATTAATACAGTGATTTAGTCCTTATCAAGTGGTGGACTTTGCTAGCTTTAGACACTTGGAAAGAGCTAAAGGTCTTTTGCAGTGTATTAATGGAGGTCATGGCACACACACACTAGGTGCTACTGTTATTTCATGGAGAGACAGTGCTGGTAAGCACTGTCCAAGGCACAGGATAGTTTTCTTAACAAGTGCTTAGCACAGAAAAGCATAAGGCTGAGTTTGAGATATTCTGGACCACAAGAGCCAATGAGTCCAATTTGTCTCATCTCCAGAATCTCAAAATACTTTTCTGGTTCCCTGGTCTGTTACCAGATTTGGCCAAGTTGCATCATCTTTGTAAAACTTTCAGTTCTGAGATAATAATGCAGGGATAATGGCTGATGTTAATCTTATAGTGTGTTCTTAGTTTCATCCAAGGAAATGCCTTTTAGAAATGAAAAACAGGTTAGTGTTAAATAATTGTTTTTGCTTCCTTATATATTTTGCATGAAAAATAGAATAGTAACAACTATAAATTTTGTATGATATAAACAATAAAATCATTTCTGTATTTTATCACCTTAGGCTAAAAAATGAATTCAGTGATAAATTCGAAAATAATTGCACTTACAATTAAAGAACATTTATCCAGTTATGAGTTTCCTAGCACTCATCAATTTTTCTAAATACAAAGCATATTTCATTGACACATGTACATAAAATATCCATTTAGTACTACTGTAGATTATATAAAATATATTTTTGTATTCAATACTACTTTGGAAAAGTCAAATTCTATTAAATAAATCACAGCACATTATTTTAATTTTACAGCTCATGCATTAATTTACATGATGTGACATGTAATTTCAATTATGTTCTATTATTATAGCTATGTGTTAGCTGTTTTTAAAATGTCTATCTGTAATATTCATCAAGTTTTATCTTGGCGATTGTCCATTGCACTTGTCAAAGGTTCTGTGTAATTTAGTCTTCTCATTATTTAAATTTTATATCAAAATATCTTTTGGAGTGGTGCCACTGAGGGTAAAATACAATTTTAATTTTTAAGCTACAGTGCTATATTTTTTTTATTTTGTGAGTGTAAATCATTGCTAATCCCTTTATTATTCTTATTGCCTGGATCTTTCCATCCACTGGATGAGCAAATTGACTAAATCACCTGGCGACTCACAAAGATTTTGAAAGTGGTATTTTTAGAACCAAGAAAGTAGGTCCTCTTTAGCCTCTGAGGGCCTCATCACTCCAATGCATAACGCAAATGCTGTCCTTGAGATTGGCAGTAAGCTCTTCACACACTGTGCCCCACGACCACAGATGTGGTCCCTGCTGCACAGACGCAGACTGAGAGCCCGCAGGTGAGCAGGATGTGAGGAGGTGAAGGGCACAAACCACAGTGAGGGTGCCCTGCCTCCTGCCCTGCTAATGATAGGACTCGGGAATATCATTTGCCTCTTCTAAATCTCATGTTTCAATACACAGGGTGATTGTTATGATGCCTCAGTCAATTGGTGAGAAGTATAATAAAGCTCCAATTTGGAAAATTATTTACCATTATTGACAATGTGTGAAGAAATTGCATGGTATTATCGTGATTTGGCAGGTCCAGACCATGGCATCATTTTACTCATACCTAGTATAAGCAACCAAGCAGCTCTCTATTTATTCTTATCAAGCATAAAGATGAAACTGACAGATAAATTGTGGTATTCTCATGTAGGTGTTTAAAATGCTGAAATCTATGAATGATTTAGAAAATTACAAACTCTTGGAGAATTCTACTGCTGATCAGCTGCAGAAATTCTGAAGATATTAAACTATGTTAAGAGAATGCTTTAAAAATCTTGAATCAAACAATTCAATTCCCAAACGTTTGCCAAGTACAGAAGCACTTGTAGGAATAAAATGAAATGCATGAGTCACTTGCTTCTCAGACTGTGAAAATGCACCTCACCTATAGGGACACAGTGGAAGGTGATTATTTTTCCTCCTCTGAGGTCTTACAGTACCAAGTCATGCCTTGGAGGCAGAGGAGATAGACGAGGCTTCCCTGGGCTGGCAGGCTTGTGACAACCTCACCATATAGATCATCCGTGATGCTGTGGTTTTGTTTAAGCAGGGTCTGTCCTCCTGCTGCTGGTGTCAACACTGGTCCTGTGCCAGAATGTGTCCTCTAGCACCTGTGTTCCTAGGGAGAAATGTGAAGTGATGTTGCAGGGACTGTATAATAATGCATCCTATTTGGCTTGGAGCATTCGTTTTCATGGGGAAAAAGCATGCTTGGATTTGGTAAGTATCTCACTTTTTACATCTTCCCAAATGTAGAAATCCCACCTGTGATTAGCCTGCAGTACAATACAAACTTTAAGAACTCAGCAACCAAATATCCAGTAATATATATTAAAATGATTAAAAATGGTGTGAGCCAATAATCTTGAAACAAGAATGAAGGAAATGTTCTATAAAATCTTAATTTTAAAACAAATAGTGATTTTTACAACATCCACCAATACATATAATTTTTAATATTTTAATCAGCTGACATATCACTTTTAAGCAGGGCTGAACACTGATTTCTTGCTGTTGCACACAGGGGCCAGTCCATGGGCATCCTTCACTGAGTGCACTGTAGATAGATATCTGAGAAATGAGAACAGCTTTGCAGTAAATTAGATTGAATGAGTAGAATTAACTCCACTGAAGTCCTGTAAGTTGAAATAAATATCAAATTAATAGCTTTTAGAAATCTCCAAATGCTCCAAATATTAGTTAAAAATATCCAGTGTAGAGGTTATAATTAGAAGAAAAATTCTAGCTTAGAAGCGGTTACAATATCACTTCATCCAGAGGTATTTTGGACATTGTCTTTTCTTCCAGGTTAGACAATAGGTGAGGGTTTAGAGCAGATGTCACGGCCCTACTTTTGTGGTGCACACATAGATTCCTACAGTTTTTATATTCCCTCCTGTTTCTTTCATTCCCCATTTTCAAGTAGCCACGTGATGTCTTCCCAAAAAATTCTATCAATGCCTTTAAACTTTCAAATCTTTGACGTAATACTACTCACTGCATTTGTCCTTGGGCTACATCACAATGTATTATACAAAATTTCCTATGGTGCTTTGCTTCATTGCATTATTCATGTTTTTACACTAAAAATTCTGTATTTTTAATTTATACATTCATGTTTATGGGTTAGGAAGTATTTTTTAAAAATCTTAAGCTTTACTTAAAGAAGGAATATCCCTTTGGATCCAGAAGAAAAAGAGCTTAGGTATACTTAGGTGGTTTTAACTCATGTACTAGAAATACTGGTAATTACAATACTTACCAATTTTTAGTTTTTACTTTTATTTTTAGCTTTTTAGGGTTAGCATTTCAATGTGGACATGCAGGAAGGGTGAGAGGAGAAGGGCACAGCAAAGAAGTAGAGAGGAGGAGAGGTGAGAAAGTGAGTTAAAAATAGTGAGATTACAGGGCTATTGGGAAAAACCAGGCTCAATGGTTACTTTCTTAATTTGTTAGATTAAATTTTTATGCAGATCTCAAGTTTCAAAAAACTACACATTCACCAAGTGTATTCACATTTATTAATGGATTCATGTTTTCATTTTGCAAATCCATACCCATGAAACTTCCTTCATCATTTTCAGGTAAATTTGCATTACTCGCGCCCAACCTACTTCTTGTCAAGCAGAAAAAGGTGCCACACGGCTGATATCCTTACAAGACCTGAACGACGAGGGGCCAGGCGGATGCAGGTGAGTCCCTAGCTGCCTCCACCAGAACAGCTGAGGCAGTGACTGGCTCTGCCTGCCCCAGGATCTCCGTGGCTCTGACGAGCAGGAGTCACACATGCAGGGAAAAGGAGCGAAGAGTAGGCAGTGAAAGAAAAAGTGCTCTTAGAGTAGTTGTCGAATTATGTACAAAATCTGAGTTTAAATGAAAATTGTACTGGAAACAGAAATTGACAATGCAGATCATACTATTTTCACCAATGCTGTGTACCTATCATTGAGTGTACCGTGCTCCTTGGTTCTGAGCTGAACTGGATTTTCAGGCACACATGTGAGATGTGCAGATTAGTCCTTATTGATCACAGGTAACTGTGACTGCTGCATTTGTGGCATGTAGCTTGGTGATTACTGTCAGATCTACACCTTCTCTCCTGGACTGCAGCACCCTCCTCAGCCTTCTCCTGCTTCTGCTTCTATGTTGCCTATTCCTCCTTGGGTATTGCCATCCCTCCTCCTGTGTCTCACCTGAAAGTAACTCGTTGTTCCTGTCCTGTTCTCTGCTGTGTCTCCTTTCTCAGAGATGCCACTCTGGTCTCTGATTTGATAAAAACAGTCTCTCCACATTCAGCCCCAATCATTTATCAAAACTCTAATGTTTTATGGTTCATACCTGTCTTACTGAATCCCTCATATTTTTAAATAAATGGGGAAATTTTCATAGTAAAAACAGCACTGAATTGTATCCATTTGAACTCTCATTAAAAAGCAATTATTTCCATAGCCATTTTCATTTGTTTGTTTTGCTGCAGCACAGGGTAGACCAAATGCTGAAAGTGTATTTTCCTTAAAATTTCTATCATCTACATAAAATATTTACATATGTACAAATCAGCAAAGTTATATATTACTTCTGTCTCTTTGAACAAAAGACTCATGTAATCTCCCCAGCTGAGTCTCACTTATTTTACTGTGAATTCCCCAAACTGGGTGCATAGGAAAAAGACCTTCTTCATATGGTGATGCGTTTGCTGGATTCCTGGAAGGAGCCTCTGCCACATGTGGCTGAAGAAACACATAAATTCATGAAATTCTACAGCCCTATCAAAAAGAAAGATGAAAGTATTTATTTAAGATACCAACAATTTAAAAGTGTCATCATTGAAATAGCCAGCAAGGTAAGCAGTCATCTGATATTTCTTTCTATTTCTAATAACCAGTTCCAACTATGGTGAGAGTATTTTGAAATGTCTCACACTGCATGTGTAATATGGAGGCCAAATATTCCATCTATGCTCCTATTAAAAAGTATAATGGTCTTAGCCAAAGAGTGCAGATTCTAAAGTGAATGAGCTTTAGGGCTGACTGTCCTGACGGGGCCGCCTTCCCTGCAGTGTCTTCAGTGTCCTCAAGGACTTGTCCCTTTATCAGGTTGGTGGCTAAATGTTTTTCAGGAAAGAAATTTAGAGCAAAGCATCTGCAAAGGAAATGTTTTCTTCAATGTTTCTCAGGATAGCCACACAGGGAGTTTGGTCTTAGTTTCTCCATTCTCCTCACAGCAGAAAATGAGAGGAGGAAGGGAAAAAGGAAAAATTCCCAATCATATAGGAAGGTCTGCCCCACACCCTAGCCAGAATAGGCTGAGAAAGCCGGATCACCAGAGCTATCCCTCAAGCCCTAGAGGTTGAAGCTTTGCCGAAGAGCTGTTTCTATTCTGGAATGTTCCTTATTTTGCAGTCTGTAGAAATTCATCCTAAGTTTCAGTATCCTTGCTGTTTCTAAATGAATATGCTTGCCATAACATTGAAACTTCAGAAATCATTTGTCACATCAAGAAGGAAATGATATTTTCAATATGTATCTTCACTCATTTAAGAAAATTCTGATTTTAGTGAGACAGCACATTAGCATCTTTCTAATGTTCTCAGAAAAAAATGTACTATATGTGCATATATGACTTTTGAAGTAATACAGGAGCAGCTTTATATTTTTATGTTTTTAAAAATACTTGTTACCTTGTGTTGTTTTCATGAAAAAATCCTATATGACACAAGAGAAAAAGTGAATGTTAAGTAGGCAACATAGGCAAGAAATACCTTAATTTTAAGTAGTTTTTTTAATTAATGTGAGCATACTTCCTGAGGACACAAATTCATTGTAGAATTCACTGTTTTATGTCTCTTTTTCAATAACTAATATATTACGGTGCATATAATAGTAGGTACAAAGGATACGTTGTCTTAGGGGGCAAGACTCAAAAGAACAAAAGGAGAGCAAATCTAGATAAAGTATAAAATTACATGCTTCCAGTTTTTGTGCAACACATAATTACCCTGTGGAAAAATCTCAGCAGATCAGGGTGTACAATTACTCCAGACTTGTGCCTCATCGCTGTGGAAACGAGCTGACGCCTTCAGAGGCAGCGCAGTGACACTGAGCCTCTGGGATCTGAGGGTCCGCCGGCTTGCAGAGGCTCACTGTTCTCTCTCCTGCTCTGTGCAGCACTTTCCTGAAACACAGTACCCCACCCACAGCACAGTCCTCACTGTGGGGTTGCTGCTAGCATCGTTCTTCCTAGACAAGATTCTGCAAACCACTCCTACTCCATGCAACTTCAAAGAAATAAGTTACTCCTCATGTAGGGTACTTTTCGGGAGGAAGGGATGCACCTGACATGTTGTCACTCACGAATCAATTGTCAGCACCCCTCAAGCACTAAGTGCAATGCAGAGTGTGGTGGACACACCTGTAGTCCCAGAACTTGGGAAGCAAAAGCGCGGGGATCACAGGAAGGTGAAGCCTAACCTGGGCCACATAGGGAGTTCAGGGCCAGACTGACCTACAAAGTGAGACCCTGCCTCAAAATACAAAAGAAAAGAAGCCCTAAGTGCAGATTCAGCATCGCTAGAATTACAGTACTAACATCGCATGCAGATTATATTCATTTAAAGCAATAAGAAACTATCCACAGAAATGAAATACAAATGAAATATCAGGGACAAGTTTGAGAAAATGTAAATGACCTTTAAGCATCTCAGTAGAAGTGAGCTTTTGTGTGATTATTTTTTGTAAAATCCATATCTATACCCAAGAATTGACTTCTGATCATCCCTCGTCTACATTTCATTGAACATAAATCCCCAAAGATCACTTGCATGTCAGAAAAACAGGTACAGGGCTGGGGATTTAGCTCAGCGGTTTGGTGGCCTGCCTTGACCCGAGTTCAATCCCAGGTACCCCCCCCAAAAAAAAGAAAAAGAAAAACAGGTCCCGTGTTCTAGTTTTCAAATAGCCAATAAGTTTATGATATGCTGCATAAGACATGTGAAAATTTATGCTCTGGGTAAACTTTTGTTTTCACTGCTTTCCATATCCCAATTAACTTTTTTTCCTCATTCAGTTTATTGGTACTTTTTAGGTATACAGTACAGTTACATTCATTATTGGGATCTTGTATCTTTATGTGACAGGTCTTGCTTCTCATCTTTTCCTCTTATCTCTACCCTCCCTTCACCTCCTCCTCCATTCCCTATTTATAAAAAATTTGTTTCTATTTTTTCATTTTCTCATATTTTTTCTTTTCACTGATTTCCAATTCACTTTTTAAGAAACAGACTAAAATATGAAGAATAGTATTAAAAGTGATGGTCTTTTTTCTGTCTAGCTTGGTCTTGAAACCTCAGTGCAAGACTTTGCTTCATGGTCAGACATGGAATCCCTGAAGTCATCTGATGATCAAACTCGTTTGTTTACTGTTTATAACTTACTGCGATGCTTTGCCATTGATGCTGACAAGCTTGAGTTTCTTGTCTACATCTTGAAGTGCCTAGCTGACAATGAAGACCCCTGCTAATCCAATGATTCATTTTTTTTTACTGAAATGTTTTCTAATGATTCATCCTTGGAATGATTATGTTGATGCATAACTTCTTGAGGAATGCCTATCTGTAAAGATTATACGTCTTTTCTTAAAAATACTTACTTTTTTTGACACTGTCAAATCCTCTGTCATCTTCTGTCTGTTTTTAACAGAAAACTAAAATTTTATCATAAGGATAAAAGTGTTAGATTATGACTTATCAGTATGCTCATACACTAAAGAATGTATTTTCAGAATTCTTTAAGAAGACAGCCACATTTTATTATCTCACTTTGACAACATATTGACAGATGATGCAAGAACTTCTGTAACAACCACTAACCAACAGTATGAGTTTACCAAGCCATCTTAACATTGTTAGTACACAAACATTAACTGGATTTAGATTCCTCTAATCCTGTGTCCAGCCTCATCACAACCACAAACATCTCCTTAGCATCACCTTGGAAACTCTCCATATGCACTGTTCACTCTGGGTATAAAAATCCAGTCTGGCTGAGGTTCAAATCCATCCCATGTTCAGTTCTTTAATACTTCCCTTCCCTTTCCTTCCTTCTATGGTGGATCAAGGAACCCAGGAGGGAATGCAGATGAGGTCAGTTCCTGTAAGGCTCCTCTCCTCATTTTCATGGTCTCCCTTTCTCTGACTACACTGGACCTGGACTGACGGGCACAGGAGAGGAAAGGTTCTAATGTCACTGACTGTGAGCTGCTGCCATGCACATCCCATTGCTGACAGGACTCATCTTGAGCTCACTCTCAGTGGCATGTATGGTGTAGTCCTGTGATACTCCAACTCACTCACCAGTGGGGATAAAGCTCCAGCTTGACCTGCACATCCTCCACCCAACTCTGCCACCTGTAGTAGCATTGTCTCTAGCCTCTGCTGCTGGTTCCTCATACTGGAATTCATGTCCCATAACCCATGCAGGCAGTGAGAGACACCACTCCTGCATACTACTGTCCTCTTACATATGCTTCCTTTCCTCCTTCTTTTTACTCACATCATAAATCAGAAAGTTGAATCCATTGGCAGACATCCACCTGAGCAATGAGGTGCCACTCTTCCCTTTTCTAAAGACAATGTATCAGAATTTCTGGAAAGAACAACTTACAGCTTAAGTCTTACACATTTTCCAACAGTTAAGTGAACACCAACACCTCCCCAAGCAATCTCAGTGTTTTACTCACTGAGCTTGGAGAAAGGAGACAGGATGAGGGTCTCTCAGCTTGGCTCTGTGGATCCTAATACAACAGCTCACCCAGGGCCAACTCTTCTCTGAAGCAAAGTACTTGTTTTAGAGGTTTTCATCAGCCTGAGTGTTTCTCACGAAGTTGTACACAGTGGATATTCAACATCTTAATACACACTAGAAACTGAAGGGCTGGAATTATTGGCAGAGAGCAATAAAAAATAGAATTGAATAATAAAGTACAGAGAAATCAAATGAATGGCAGTTAGGCATATATAGTTCTATTTTGTTTTTTTGCATCTTTATTTATATTTTCTTTCCTTTCTGAGGTTCTCTACATATTAGGAATATTCTTTGACCTTAAAAGTTGGGTTTCTATATTGCTGAGAATAGCAGAATATGATACTGTACACAAGAGAATCTAAGGTCATTATGATGCCAAGCCAGTCCTTCACTCTGTGGGGCACACTTCTTTTCTACTTTGACTTCCTTTACCATGTTTTTCTCCCCATAAACATGCTTTGAAAGCTTTGATAAATTTAACACATGTTGCTATCAGGTTTCCTGTCGAATTCACTGTTCAGCACAAAAAGACTGACCCTAGGAAGCACACAGTAGCCCAGTACCTGGTGCAGTGTAGATCTTTCCAGTAATGAACAGGGAGCCCTGCAGAAGAGAGTAGCACCCAGCAGTGCACCACACATGGCTGATGCCCCAGCATACCCTACGCATCTAAGCTGAGGCCATGCCTCTGGCTGCCTTGTGCTGGGAAGGGAAGCCTGTGTTCACAGCCTGTCCTGGCTAGAAGCTCTGTTTTGCAGCATGAGCCCCATCTGCAGAAAGGGGCAAGCAGTAGGTGAGGTACCTGGCACCTCATCAGATGGGAGGGGACCCAGAATCTCTGAACAGCGGAGGGTGGTGGATCCCAGCTGAGTACAGTGACAGTTTCCACACCCAGTGTTCAGGCCATGGGTCCAGACAACCACAGCCATCCTGCGATTGGTCTGTTTGGCAGCCTGTGGAACTGCCTCACAGGGATGATCATGGCCCCCAAACATTCCTTCCTATTGCTGCTGTCCCTAGGAGTGGACAGACCTATGCACAC